GTCCAACCTTGTCCATTTATAGACAATGAAACTTTGAAAAGCTGAGTGACCTGCTTAAAGGTCACAAATTGAAGAGTTGGAATTTGAACCTAGTTCTTTGACTCCAACTTTGACTCCAACTTCCTATCATATCAACTTGCCTTTCAATTTAGGAAAGGATCTAGAAACAAAAAGAAACAGAGCTCATCTTGTCACAAGATCATAGGAACACAGATTTTTTTCTTTTTTAAAAATAATATTTTTTCTAACTACATGTAAAAACAATTTTTAACATTAGTTTTTTTTGAAAAAAAATTGAGTTTCAGATTTTCTCCCTCCCTCCCCTCACCTCCCTCCTCCCTAAGATGATAAGCAACTTTATATAGGTTAAGTATGTGCAATCATATAAAATATATTTCCATGTTAATCATGTTGTGAAAGAAGAAACAGGCCAAAGGGGGAAAAACCCACAAAAAATGAAGTGTAAATAGTAGGCTTTGATCTGCATTGAGACTCCATCAGGAACACAGATTTTAGAACCAGTTGGAGGAGACCTTACAAACTATCTAGTCCACTCCTCTAATTTTACAGAAGAGGAAACTGAGGCTCAAAAGACCTCAAAGGCCCAAGGTCAAACACTTTTGGTATCAGAGCCTGGATTTAAACCCAAGTCATCTGATTCTAAATCCAACGTTCTTTCCACTTCACCACACTACCTGCCTCCTCCTTCTAATGCTGATTTGGGAGCTAATCTGGGACTCTTTTTCTTCTTCCTCTTCAGGTCCAAAACTGATTGCATACCTGAAGGTCTAGGTTACCCAGAGACCAAACTAGAGGGCACATTTAGAAAGTTTTGACTATGTTATGAGAGACAGCATGCTATCATAGAAAGAAGAGTAGCTTGAGATTTATTAAAAAAAAACACCCAAACAAAAGACATTTGGTTTAAATCCAAGCTCTACCACCTAGTTGGCCTTGTAATCATGAGGAAATCACATAACATCACTGTGTATGTGTGTATGTGTGTAAACCATTCTATACATATTTCTATGATAGACTCCTTGTGTCCCTTTGAACTTTTTAAAAAAAAATATTTCCTCATCTGTAAAAGGGGAAAATGATATTCATATTACCTATATCATAGATAGATGCTGGGAGATGGCAGTTTATAAATTTTTAAGCACTATAGAAATATGAGTTATTAACCTTGCCTATCCCTCCTGCATAGGAGATAATGCAGTCCCTTATCAGGTTTTCATCTGTAAAATGATACGAGTGATACTACCTATCAGTTTGTCTGTGTGTGTAAGGAAAATGATTTGTAAACTTAAATTACTATTAAAAAGTGACCTATTGACGCTTTTAAATATAAGCAGTTTCTGTTTCATTGGAATGAGATGCTTCTTGTGTTCACGTTAATAATAACAGTGATAACATAACTAATTGGAAGAGGGCTTTGTGATCATCCTTTGCTTCGATAATAATGATAACTCATGTTTACATAGCACTTTAATATTTGCAAAATGTTTTTTTTCGTATGACCTTGACAGGTAGGTAATGCAAGTATTATTCTTCCCATTTTAAAGAAGAGGGTATGACTTGCCCACGTTTACATAGCAAGTGTCAGGCTTAGAACTCAGATGCTCTGGTTCAATGTCTAGTGCTTTCTCTTTTCACTATGTAACTAGCCCTAAAATTAATATAGCAATAGGATTTTTGAAGACAACAATAATTACATTTTAGATTTGTGAAGCATTTTATGCTTATCAAACCATTTTCATATACTTTATTTCATCGGACTGCTAACATTGTAAATTATCATTTACAAATGAACAATTTTTTTTTGATTGAGTTGAAAGCTACACAATCTTTTGCATATATCTCTAGAGGGGAAACAGGGAAGAAGGGAATGGTATTTAACTATGTGGGGTGGTAAATTTAATTTTCACACTTATTTACAAGGCTAAATTATGAATGTAATTATGCTGTAAAGTCACCCAAAATGTCAAAATTCTAATTTAAGAAATAGAGAAAAACAATCACAATTCCAAGAACTGGGAATGGCCAAAGTATTTAGTTTGATTCACACTTTCACAGCTCTGATTATTTAGATCATTTAGTTCCTGCACTCTTACTTCTGCTCTCATTATCCACATAATTTAGGAAAAAAATAAGTGTTTTGACTTGAATTATGAAGACTGGCCATCCGCAATGCTTGATCTAACAGGGAACTGTTAATCATCTTGCCACAACATGATTTTCAGTAAACACCTGGCATGCCTGGTTGTGTGGCAGCTGAGATAAAAGGTTGAACTTAGGCTCTGGAAGACATGGGTTTAAATCAGGGTTCTGACACTTTAGTAGCTGTGTCCCACACAGCTGTCTAAGGTTTTAAATTATAGAAAGGGCCTCATCTTTACCTTCTGGCTTCCTTTGAGTCCCAGCTAAAATCCTACCTTCTACAGGAAGTCTTTCCTAATCCTTCTTGGAACTAGTGTCTTCCCTCTATTAATTATTTCCCATTTATTCTGTATGTGGCTTATTTGTACATATTTGCTTCCTTATCATCTCTCTCGTAGGCTGCAAGCTCCTTGAGGACGGGGACTATTTTTTATATGTCCTCAGGACTAACCATAACATTTGACACGTAGTGGGCACTTAATAAGGGCAGCTATGTGGCGCCATAGTGCATAAAGCACTGGGCCTGGAGTCCAGAAAACTCATCTTCCTGAGTTCAAACCTGACTTCAGATACTTACTGTGTGACACTGGGCAAATCACTTAACCTTATTTGCCTCCGTTTTCTCATCTGTAAAATGAGCTGGAGAAGGAAATGGCAAACCACTCCAAGAAAATCCCAAATACGGTCATGAAGAGTAGGACATGACTGAACAATAACAGGCACTTAATAAATACTTAATGACTGAGTGATGGTTAAACTTGCCAAATTTGTTTCTTGGACATATGCTTGATTTGTATAAGATATTCCCATGTTTCATGAGAAAGAATGGGGCAGTTTGGTGGCCTCTACAGAGCAAGACTGTGGTCCTTTGGGGAAGGATGACTCATCTTCCAAGCAGATTTAGATATACCCCTGGGTCCATGGCAAAGCATACATCACCCTAGTTGTGTTAGAGTCCATGACTACTTTGGTCACTGAAAGGCCAGAAACAAGCTCTAGAAAAGAGGAGTCCCACAATTTCACAACTAGGTAAGTGAGATAGGAATGGGGGTCACTACATGGAAAAAACAGTCCATTCTTGATGATTCTCTACTATTGGTGATTCTCTATATGTAAGCAGAGACCAGAGAATAAACAGACAAAGGGGAAATCCCAAGATTTGTACCTCATGCCAAAGCCACAGATTGTTCTGGGCAGAATTTAAAAGCATTGGGCAGACTTAGAAAGGAAAAACATGATATAGTGGAAAGTGTGATGGCTTGGGAGTCAGTTGGCCTGGATTTAAGGCAGACTCTAGCATTTGCTACAATTTGGGTAGGTCATTTTACCTCTCTAGTTCTTAGTTCTTTTCATCTGTAAAATGACAAGGAGGCCTCTGAGGTCCCATCCAGCCTTACACCTATGATCCTATGATTTTTATAGAAAATGGATACTGGTAGTATCTTGTCAAGAACAGTGGAACAAGCTATGAGAATGGTCCAAGGAACCCTGTGGTTGATCCTCACGAAAGAACAATCTGTAAATTCTCATCCTGATAGTAACATGGCATAGGAAAATAAATTACCATTGGGATAATATGTAACTTATTGCAAAATACATGGTTTCCTGTTCTTTTGGTTGAAACTTTCCTATTGTACATCGTGTTCAGCTGGGTTACAAATATGGAGTTGCTACTGGCCTTCCAGAAAACCTGGAGAAGAGTTTTTCTCAGGTTTTTTGTTAGGAGCTCTGGCTCCCATGAGATACCACCAAACATAACCTGGGCCTTATTAGCCAAAAGTACCCCTGACACAAGGTTTGGGCTATATTAGTCACCATATAGTTTGAAGAGTGACCAAAAAACCGCAATAAAAAAACCCACTTTAATCAGTGTCATTGATGAATCAAAAACTTTACAAATTCACTAGTAATTAGAAGCATAGAACTTCAGAGGTGGAAGGGACCTTAAAGATCATATAGCCTGACCCTCTTATTTTTAGCATGAGAAAAGAGAAGGCCATAAAGGGGACATCCCTTGGTCAAAGCTACACAGCTAGGAAGCAATAGAGCTGGGACTCCCTTGTATTTCCTCTCCTGCATCTCTTGAGTCTATTTTCAGTGCATCACATGTCCTCTAGATAAATTGGCATTTTTCTTGATGAATAAAATGAAGACAGAGCCAGCTTTCACCAAACAAGTATAGGCAGTTTAATATATGCTCCATAAAACCCAACTTTCTTGAATTCTCATTTCTTACAACTATCTATTATACTCACTTTGAGGTTGAGAGGTCTTGCTGTCTCTCTAAAATACTTTCCAATTTTTAAATCTTTGTAAGTTTCTATTTACTGCCTTGTAAAGCTGTTACCTTCATAGAAGCCTCAATTCATCATTGCATTATTTATTTGAACAAGAGTACTTTCCATTTTCTGGCTTCCCAGGATTCCGAGCTCCCTTGTCTGATTTAGGAACCAGATCTGTGAACAAAATGGTTCCATAAAGTGATGACACAGAAAGAATTCACCATCCAAGGCCTGTGATATAGGGAGATAAGGACAAAGGACGACTGGAACTAGTAGAAGTAAATATGGAGGGCTGAGTGGGGTGCCTGGTGGAGAATCTGCCCCTGTTCATTATGGACATTTCCAAAATAACAACAATTAGCACAATTCCTACTATGTGTCAGACATTGTGCAAAGCATTTTACAAATATTATCTCATCTGACCCTCCTGACAACCCTGGGAGGTAGGGGATATTATTATTTCTATTTTACAGATGAGGAAACTGAAGCAAATAGAGTTTAATCACTTGCCCAAGGTCACACAGCTAGCAAATAGTCTGAGCTGTATTTGAATTCAGATCTTCCTTACTCCAGGCCTTGTCCTCTGTTCATTGTGCCACCTCACACAGAAATTTAGTCCAATCGCAGGTGACAAAAAACCTATGAGACAACAAATTATAGACATAGAATGTTAGATTTGGAAGGGACACATCTAATGACCTCCTTTACAGATAACGAAACAAGCCTGGAGAGAATGTTAATGTTGTGCCCACATCTAGTAGAGGTGGGAAGAAGGCAAGGAGGAAAAGGTGGTGGTGGGGGGAGAATCTAGATATTCTGATTGTTTTCTTTCAAATAAACTTCCCATTAAAAAAAAACACTTTTTTTTTGAACTAGAGGTAGGATTTCATTGAGGTAGAGAACTCACAGGGAAAAATGCTTCCTTCCAATGCAGATCAACAGCTTCTCAGCAGCTTAGTCTCAGAGTATCCTACTCTCTAAGAGAGTAAGCTAAATAAATTGCCTCTGGTCAGACTAGCAAGCAAGTTTTATTGAGCAACTCCAGTGCCAGTAAAGCTTTTTACTTAGAACGCTGGCAGGAGGAAGATATTTTTTTAAAAAACTAAATCTTCTGTGCCAAACTTAGTAATTATAAATATTTCAATATGCATAGAAGAACAGAAAGGGGGATTGCACATGAAACTGAACTTCTCTAGTTTGCTTTTAGAAAAAGAATAGTTTATAGTAAATATAACAGAATGGGGACAAAAGTGCCCTGCTTTTCTGTGTACCCTTCTGAACTTCAACCTACTTTTTCTTGCAAATTTTCTAAATGTTCATTAAGGTTCTTTTATTCCTTTTATTCTTTATTTCTTTAATTTTTGATTTATGGAATAAAAACAAGCATTTCCATAACACAACATAATAAAAAAAGATGATTGCATATGAAACTGCACATCTATTATATATTGCTGTTCCTTTTAAATATATAACAAAGTTATCATGTAAACTTCTGTTTTTCTTCCTTCCACCCCCCCCCCCCCCCAGAGATGGCTATCATTAGACACAAATATGTCTATATAGGTAAACTCATTCAATACATACTTCTATTTATCAGTTCTTCCTCTGGGATGCAGATAGCATCTTCCTTCATACGTCCTTTTAGTTAATTTGGGTATTTATAATAGTCAAAATGACTATTTCTTTTATTGTTTTGCCATCACTATACCTACCCACTGAGTGAGAGACTTTACATTGGAATACCTTGGCTTGGGGTTGGACACACTTGGGGTGGGTGTGGGGGAGAAGGAAATAAGAATTTATACAGTGCCTATTCTGTGCCATACACTATGCTAAGTTCCTTATAGATATTATCTCATTTGATCTTTACAACTACCCTGTGAGGTAGGCCCATTTTATAGTTGAGGAAACTGAGGCAAACAGAGATTAAGTGACTTGCCCAAGCTCATTAGACTAGTAAGTTTCTGAGCCTGGATTTAAACTCAAGTCTTCTTCACTCCAGGCCCAGCACTCTGTACACTGCACTACCGAGCTGCCATACTCTTTAGAGAGTATGAGGACATACCCTGAGCCTGGGCAGCATAATTAGACCGGGTTCCTTTCCCAAGGAAAAACAGAAATAAATTGAGGGGAGGGAAAGAGACTAGCTAGAAGTATGGCAATACTGTATGTTATTCTCTGGCTCACTTCCCTAATGCAACTCGAGAGGGTTTTGAACAAGATCCTTTGAAAGAACTGTGTACCACCATACCTCCCTCTAGAGAGCTCAACAAAGATACTGCGCTATTAGCTGTTGCTAAGAAGAGTTGCTAGGAGAGGAACACTGAGTTGTCCAGACATTAAGAGAGAAAGGAATTTTTTTTTGAGGAGGCATGGGAGGAGTTACTGCTAATGAGGAAGCCACTGAAAGGTGGCTATCCTGGAACACTTCAGATGAAAGTTGTTATTAATAAGAATCTCACTGTTAAGGGCCCAGCTATGGGGAAAAGGAGTGGGGATGGATAGTCATGCTAGGAGTTCCAGAATCTTAGAACCTAAGAACTGGAAGGGTCTACAGAGGTCATAGAGTCTAAAATATACTTGGACAATAATCTGTCCTACTCTATCCATAGCATGTGCTCGTTCAGCTTCTACATGAGGTAGAACCTACTGCCTCTTGAAACAACCCATTCCACTTCAGGAAAGTTCTCATTATTAGAAAGATTATCTTTACATGTAGTCTAAATATGCCTCTCTTCAAACCCTATGCGTCGTTCCTAGTTCTGCCATTTCCTTTGCAGCTCATTTTACAGATGAGGAAACAAAGGCAGACAGGGTTAAATGACTTGCCGACAGTTAGTAAGTGTCTGAGGCCAGATTTGAACTCAGGAAGATGAGTGTTCCTGATTTTAGGACCTGGAATAAGGAATGTTGTTGTTAAAATGTTTTTCAGTCATGTCTAACTAACTCTTTACGACCTCATTTGGGGTTTTCTTGGCAAAGATACTGGTGTGATTTGCCATTTTCTTCTCCATCTCATTTTACAGATGAGGAATTGAAGTAAACAGGGTTAAGTGACTTGCCCAGGGTTACATAGCTAGTAAATGTCTAAGGTCATATTTGTATTCAGGTCTTTTTGACTCCAGGCCCCTCATTGCCCAAAGAGCTGTGGCTGAACAGGCACAGTATAGTGAAACTACTACCTTGCTCTTTATGGACATTACATCTTTATTAACAAATATTAATATAGTGTCGTATGGCATAGGCTCTGAGCTACTCTCTCATGTACCAGCAGATTGAGTCACCAGAAGTCAGATGGTCACTTCTTCCCTTGAGGTGAACACAGGAATAATTCTGAAGGTTCTTTGTTTTGGAGGGTGGAGGGCTTTTTTAGGCTCACTCATGTGCCTTTATTGGTTTGCTCCATCATTAATTAGCAATTGGTATCAATTATTTAGACAGACTTAATTAGCTTTTAGAAATGGATATTTACTAAGGTGGTATAGTAAGAACAATTCATACAAAACATCACATCCACCCCGCAAAGTAGAAGAAGACTTTTCCATATATACATACAGAGCTCAGGGGAAAGCAGGTTCAAGCTTAGAGCATAGGTAGCAAAGGGGTAGTTCATACCTCCTGGTAAGTTAATGTTTATTGACTGACTAGTTGCTGGAAAGTAAGTTTCTTTTTTTTTTTTTACTTTTAATTTTTTAAAAAAAATTTATTAATTTATTTTGATTTATCAACAATCACTTCCATATGCTTTTGAGTTGAAAATTTTTCTCCCCCTTTCTCCCCCCCACCCTCCCCAAGATGGCACACAATCTGATATAGGCTTTACATTTACATACCCATTAAACATATTTTCACATTAGTGAAGTTGTAAGTAAAAATTAAAACCAATAGGAGGAACCATCAGAAAGATGAAACAAAACTCAACAGAAGGTAAAAATAAGTGATAGCAGTTCAAGTTCCATAGTTCTTTCTTTGGATGTGGACAGCATTTTCCAACCTGAGGCCTCTGGAGATGTCTTAGATCCTTGTAATGCTGAGAAGGGTTCAGTTTAACAATATCATTCATCGAATACCATGGCTGTTATTGTGTACAAAGTCCTCTTGGTTCTGCTCACTTCACTCAGCATCAGAACATATAAGTCTTGGAAAGTAAGTTTCAACCAACAACACTTTTCAATATTTTTAATGATGACATGTTTGAAGGCATTGATGTCATACTTGTAAAGTTTTTAGATGATAAAAACTTGAAGAGGTAACAAACATGTAAGGTAGAGTATATATGTATAGAGTACATATCCAAAAATATCTTTACTGTTCTGATCAATGGGCTGAAACAAACAAGATGAAATTTCATAAAGAAGAGGAAGCCATGGAATGGAGATAGAAATGTAAGCTCAAAATTGAAAAGCTTCAGGGCTTGAGTCTGGGCTTAACTCCGACTTCTGTTGTATTAGCTATACAACTCCTCTCTATAGTCTAGTCGATTCTCTAGGACTTTAAGTTGCAGAGAAAGTGATGATCTGTATTGATACATAGAGTCTCCTCATCCAGCAAGTTCTCTACATCAATGAAATCACAAGTACAGTTCCTTTGCTGTACCCATAATAGAGATAACTGTAAAGTTCTATATTTTCATTTTTAACAACAACTTTACAGACACAGGATACAAGCGGCATGTCTAGACAATGGTTCTTATGAACAAGAACTGAAGGTGTTAATGCACTATAAGTTTGGTACAACTTGTCAGTGTGACATGGAAACCAAAAAAGCTGATGTTAACCTAATATAATTAGGAAGAGGGGGTTATCTGAATCCATTGTCTACCCTAAAAAGATTCTGTACATCCTAATGCCTTAATCATTTCTGAATTCCTCATTGAATTGCACAATCAATCCAATGCAATATAGTTATACAATCTATCAAGTGTGTGAGCTAGGTGTGAACAAGGCCCAGACCTCTATTGAATCAAAAGTATAAACTAGGTTCAAACACTTTTATCATCTAAATATGACATCAATGCCTTCAAACATGTCATCATTAAAAATATTGAAAAGAATAGGGTTAGTTTTCTGAGTTAATCTATTCCAAGTTCAGAGCAATCAACTGAAAACTGCTTTTGGATAAAGTTATTCAATAAATCACAAACCTATAAAAGTGAACTACTCTATAGCCTATCAGTTGCTTTGCTGAAATCAAAGCATACTATGTCTACAGTCTCTCCTTGTTTTGATAAAAAGTATGCTTGGATTTTAATGCTTACGACTTCTTCTTTCCCCCTGTTATGGGTGTGTTCTAGCACAGAATCCCAGTTGAAAAGGGATGTTTTATAGATCAGAGGCTCATAGGCCCCTTCTATGCCAGGCACTGTGACAAATGCTAGGGATGTAAAGAAAGCTAAAAATGGGTCCTATTGTTCCTGTCCTCAAGGAATATACATGTTCGTGGGGAAGAAAAACACAAAATATCACTAGACATATACAAGATCTATACAGAGTAGATGAAAGGTGATCTCATCAGAGAAGGCACCAGTGTCTGGGGGCACTGGAACAGGCTTCTTAAGGAAGTATTTACACTGAGTCTTAAAGAAAACTAGGAAAACTGAGGTGAGAGTGAGGAGGGAGGTCCTGCCAGGCATGGGAGAA